GGATGACTGGTTTAGTGTTTCTTTCCCGCATATTTTTATCAATAAAACGGCTAGGGTAACCGTTTTCGACAAGTATGCTTTTTAAGAAAGATAGCTCTTCGTCGATACAATCGTCACTACAGATACTTCTTATTCGATAGCAAAGAGAGTGAATAAGATTTCTTTTTCTGTTGATGGGTACCCAACTATAAAAATTAGTTAGTTGTCCGTTATCATTCGCACTTCAATTGTTATTATAATCATAAATGCCTATGTCATCACCCGCTCTATTATTATTGTCATCACCATATAGTGTTTAGTTTTTCCTCACAGGATATAATTTTCTCCAAATACCATATATATACGATTGTACAGCTTGAAAATAAATTCGTTGAAAAGAGTCTCTTCGCTGAATATCTTGTTCTTAATGTTACAATGGGAATTATTAAATTATTAAAAAAAGATTTGGTTATCAATCTCTCCCTCCACCTAAGTTAGTTTATAATACCGTCACATCATCCCACCGTACTGTGTGATTGTATGCATGGCTATAACCGACTGTTCCTCTGAATTTCTGATCCTATTAAGATCTACTAATCTTAATTCGGCTAAAAGTTTGTGCTCTGTTATTCTAACTGACTGTGGTCGACTGCTTTGACGTATGTATTTAACCTCACAACCATTACAAAGAATTGGGTAAACCAAATTATCTTGTCTAATTGAATCAATTGGGTCTTTTAACTTACATAGCTTGTTTCTAAGTGAGTTTGTTGGTAGAAATACCACTCGAATCCCAGACTTATTGAGAATGGATCATCACTTATGATTGTGCTATTTCAATGCTGAATCGAATGAACTTAGTAGAGAATAGCATATCTTCGACAAGTGTAGAAGAGAATGATTACTCAACTTGGGGGGTTTGTGGGGATTTATTGATTTTAAGTTGATATTCATCATGGACCGACATCAGTTGGAGGGACATTGGAAACTTGGAAGCACTGGGCAGCTGTTTCGTCCTATACTTAAGCTATTATAGTTTCTGTCCATCCCAATACAAGTGAGGCTTAGTTAGGTGCTTATATAATCGAATTCAACGAATATGCACAGTAGATACGTTGGGACAAGAAACAGGATTATTGACAGAGACACTAATTCAGAACAACTACTCAAAGAAGTTTATTAGTTGACATAGGGTGGAAAGAACACTAAGAAATACTATTGACTCTGTTCCTAAGAAAGATATCTTCATCACTATACATTGGTGATGTGAGTATCTTGATAGTCAGACAGAGACTTAACGCTAAGATTCGGATAATTGGAAATTCGAAGCCTATATACCCATCCAAGCCCTTGGAACAGGTGAAAGATGAAGCCATACCACATCGTATTTACCAAATTAAATATACGTGTGATCAAACGTAAGTAGGGAGGACTCATCGATCATTGAAAATAAAGGCTAAAGAATATATTCCGAAGTGATTTCAGAAAGAAATAGAGTCCTCTGACTTAAATGATGCTGGAAACAAACGTTCAGGCTCCTCAATAGCTAAACATTTTTGAAGCGGATATACAAAAGTCATTTACATTCGTTTATAAAACTTGTCAGGGATGTAATTCAAAGTTTATTAAGGCATTAGCCATTAGAAGGTTTAAGCCACCTTTGTGTTCAAAAACAATTTGTCATCACATTAAACCTTCCGTGGTAAATTCTGCTTTGAACCCATATCGTATCAAGGTAACTACACTACTTTGAAACATCCTTAACATAGTTCGGACTATTCTTGTTTGATGTGTTGATATGAGTTGCAGTAACTTGAATCGTTAAGCAGTAATGGCAGATCCCATATCAATCCTATCTATCATATAAGATAGTGTAGTGGGCATTGCTGATAAGAATGGATATAAGTAGTATATATTGAGAGGGCAACAGAAATCATAGGGAATTACCAGCAATGGGTAAGGATTCTGCACAGAGAAACGTAAGAGACAACGGGGGCATATGAAGAACAAGTCAGGGGCGAAGTAGAAGAGGAAATGAAGCACATTGTGCAAATGACTGCCTTATTGCACGGTGTACCATATTTAACGACTACTGTACTGCATGTTAGTAATCAACATTCCTTCCTTCGTCTCTGTCTTCTCGTTCCTTTCAGTAGTACTTGTAGCCACTGCCTGTTAAGAGGCTCGTTACAGCAACTGAATTCAACGAAACTAGTCCCGTAAAGTAGAAAAACTACCTCTATTACGGCTAATACAGATATCATTTACAATATGATTTCAGGTAAACTCAAAACCTATACCAATAACCAACCAATGAAATAACGGTCCCAATTTCATAATCCATTACTTCTTTGCTTTTAATGTTGACTAAAGCATCTACTCAACTATAAATTTTGCTTACTTCATTTGCATGAGTGCTACAAAATAAAGCTTTGTGGATTAACCATAAAATGATGCCGAATTCTCTGATATACTTGATATGATATTCGTTACAAGTAGAACAGAATTCAACCACTGTACATATTTGACATTATTTAGGGAACGTAACATGTTTCCCCTGGGTGAAAACAATCCTATGACACAAAACTAATGATTCTCACATAGCTATCAGAATTCTGAAGAAAAGAGCAGACAATTCCGCTTATCATTGACTAACAGCACACTGCTCATACCTCTGTTATGTTAAAACACCCACCAAGTAGAGCAAATGAGACGTTTATAACCTGCTTTCCTATATGTACCCTTATTATGTGAACGGCTCAGCTTTTGCCAACTAACGTCAGATCTGGCACCATGAAGATATCTGACTATCTCTTAGAGACGAGTATAAGGTTGGTGACCATTACTGGTTGAGATGACTTTAACACGAGTCGCGAATGCTAAGCCACTGTCTACCTCGACACACTGAAATAAATTCACGCTAGACAAAGACTAGAGGCTGCTAGACCACGACGTGGCACCAGTCCATTGAAGTACTTAGTTGTTGTCCTTGACAGTGAAGTGAGGTGTACACTAACTGGTTGCGGTACTCTAGCCGAATCAACAATTTGAAACTTCTGGTAACAGGACTGAAAATCGGAGGCAGTGGAACAGATTTATTCACTTGATGACATCTTCAAACGTTTGAATATTTTCACTAACCTTCAGTTACTTTTCATCCCTTTCGTCTACTTCAATATCACTTTTTCCGTCAATTAATTCCTTGAAACAGTGAAGAATATTTGTAGCTCATGTGACGTTTAATATAGCTAAACGTCACGACATTTCATCACTCCAATGCACGTGCATAATTATGGACATGAATTCAACTTCGACAATGTAGAAGTTTTGGACGTTCAGAGGAAACACAAAGAATATCAGAGAATTCCTAGAAGCTTGTTATTCAAGTCAGTCAGCAATCAATAGATGTATAGGCATTGACCCAATCTATCAACCAATGAGAAAAAATGATAAACGACAGAAAGGTCAGAAGTCAAGCAGAGTCAATGACACAACAATCAAAGGAAACAACCAATTACAAACCAGTTCGTCAGGGTAAGCTACTAAATGGCAGTGTGTGCTCGCGTCCATATATATATATATATATATATATATATATATATATATATATATATATACCCTGATAAAGATAGCACACATTAAGTGAACGTCCATGTACTTCAGTGGGTCACTGCTACTAGTTGTCTATAAAGAGTACAAAAGAATCCACTACAGTTTCTTATGCAATAGACTACTTAAACTGTTTGTCAAAATGTTTCACTTACCGTATTAAAAGATCAGAAATCTACAGGTCAGTCTATTTGTAAATCTTACATAAATGATTACACAGATGACAGTTAATTGTGTATTTGCCAACTTGCGTCATTTGTGGCATCGTCTGGTAAGATATCCGACTATCTATCAAAGGACGAGTATACTGCACTGTAGTTCGTTTTATCTTGTTATACACCTATGAGAAATGGCTGTTAAAAGTGGGAGACATGAAGCGATTACTGGGTTTTGATTACAGATGTCTTCGCAGTAGAATCACCGTGCGATCAATGTTGAGGTCAAGCGAAGGGTATCAGGCAAGACAGATGTGTCGATTGATGAGGTTGTGAACCTTTATCGACTGAGACGGTTCGGACATGTACTGCACATGTCAAGCTACTGACTAGCACGACGTGCCATGCTAGGGGAAGTTGGATAAGGTTGGTAGAGGGTTCAGGGTGGTCAGACCAAGATCTACCACCAATTGGCGAAGTCTGTAACTGTTGATCTGATTCGTGTATGCAGATGTAAACTGCCTAGTTGGAGTGCTTAAAACGAAAAGAATCAGTTCTTAATTAATTTAAAGGTGATAATTATTATCGACTACATTTACAGTTTAAAGATTGTCTAAAATAGGGAAACACACCATCTCCGTATTCCCCGAACGATAGCTGCTACCTTGACGGTAGTGGTCAAGCTTGCATATCACAATGATGCAAGTCGATATACCAGTAGAATGCTTGTCCCCTCGAGTTCAGGACATACCAGAGAAGTAAGTTGAATTGTGGTAAGATAAAATGCAGTCACCTTTATATTGTAAATCGCTATGCTTTGTTGGGGGCCAAGAGACGAATTTGTACTGTTGGCTCAACTGGGGTACAAACAGGAGTCAGGGGTTTTGCACAGATAACCAGGAGTATCATACCGATGAGGGATTAAGCAAGGTCGGCCATAAAGATATCACACTTTGCTCTCCTACAGCATGCTATAGGTTTATAAACAGATTCGAAAAGAGCAAATCAAAATCTCAAACTCCGTAAATGACCGATCTTAAGCAGATGTTCCTTAAGCTCTGGGGTAACACACCACCATTAATAATCCTTGTTTTCCAGGTACCTTAATAAGAAGTAATCTTCCACGGCGTAGTCAGTCATAAAGTGTCGGTTGCCGTCACAACTCTGTCGGCAATCAAATTACTCTCATCTATATCTATCCAGCTAACTCTTTAACTTAGGTCAATTCGTTGCAGGATTGACAACACACACTCAGTAGGAAATGATGTAAAAATCGTTTATCTCAAATATCACACTCAAACTGTACACTAATCTGTTTTATCAACTCTTTGTTAATTGAATTATCATTTTGTAAAAGTTTTATAAGTTTTATAACATTTAAACGCTCCGTTTCATTAGTCATCATCCAGGCAACATCGAATCTTGGCAATTTAGACAAAGATAAAAGACGATCAGCAATCTCATGATTTGTTAATTGATTAGTATCATTAACAGATTGACAAAATGATTGAAGCATACGTGACAAGAAATCACTTTCCATATTTTCACCGAATAATTCTGCATAACGATTTGGTTGAATATTACACAAGTAAATGATGGCTTCTTTGCTAAGATTTATTGTTTTACAATTGGAAGAAAAAGAAGAAGAACTATCACGCTGGCATAATTCACGTACTTCACGTTCCAACTGGAACCAATTTGATGGCGGTTTATGCAAATTAATATTTCGAAAAGGTTCTGACTTTTTAAGAAGATGATCACCGGTAGAATTTATCACTGGATTGTTAATCATTTTCACAGATTTTGAAGTATCATTTTTACTATCAGAAGAGGAGATTCTTGAGGTTTTTGATGTATTAAGCATTAGAGAAGTTGAATGAAATAATTTCTCTTCCGTTACGTCATCTTTCTTCTTAATTGGACAGTTGTCATTAACTGTTTGATAAGTACAATCAGATATTTTAGTTTTCTGTGTCTCTTCAATATCACCACTGATTTCAACGATTGGTATTCTTCTCATTTTTCGTTGATTACTTGTCGATTGAATAGAACAATGTGATGTAGAAGAGTTGGACGTGTTAACCATCTTTCTTCCAGTTAATGAATTCAATTCACTTAAGGCACTTTTATTATCTGAATTAATTTTAAGTAATTCTTCTAAGTCTTCAATTGCTCCAGAGATTTGACCTAAGCCTTTTCGAGCAAGTGCTCTCCTGAAAAGGTAGAATAATAAAAAGATAATCTAAATGTCAAGTGATAAAAAAAATCTCCCTTTCCATTAACAAGAAGGAATCTATACTTTGACTATGATTAGAAATCACACTGTTCAATACTATAGTCGTAAACTTTACTAATAGACTGATCATCCCTGGTTATAGTTTTTAACAAACCTGATATTTAACAAAAATAATAACCAATGATCAGTGACACAGTATAATTCACTGTGTCCTATATTAAGCAAACAATCTAATATGGAATTATACCCTAACATAATGCCCAAGTTTTTTCTCTTACATTAATGAAAATCAAATATTTACACCAATGAGCCAGAACTGCATATATTTATACAAAATGAAGTAATACAGTCAAACACTTACCGAAATAATGCCTTAACAGATGTTTTATCCAGTTTCAAAGCAGCTGTACAATCAGTTTCAGCTGATGCAAATCGTTCTGTTTTAATATAAGCGAATGCACGATTTGTATATGGGATAGGATCTTCAGGTGCAAGACGTATAGCCATTGTATACTGTTCAATAGCTTCATCCAGTCTACCTTCCTATTTTTGTACAGAAAATAATAAAAACAGTTTCAGAAAGATTGATGAATTAGTTTACAAGGAAAATAACCATCTTAAATACATTTCTAAAGTGGTTGTGATTTGCTGTGGATTTTCATTGATAGCCACTGTTTGCTCCATATCATATATACTAGTATATAAGGTATTGTACACAAACAAGTATATACAGACAGACAAATGAACGTAGATCCTAGCACAGAAGTCTATCACTCCAACTTACCACACTTGACAGTAGCGTTCAAAGGACAAGTGAGTAGAAAGAAAGAGATTTCCAAATAGGAGAGAGAAATAAATGGAGGTTAGTGAAAATATTCGTACTTTAAAGCATGTTGAAGGCGAATAGATCTGCATTGTTTTGTCTGATTCCCAGCTATTTCAACCACCGTCTTTAACTATTGGTTCCCTTCGTGTCGAGTAGCCAGCCAGCCAGTCTATACGGGTCAGACGAACAATCAAAGAAATTATGGGTTGGTGACAAGTCTTCATCCGGTCACTCTGGGCTTTCTCCCAGCGTAATACTACTTCATATATAGCATCGCAAGTCAAGGTAGGTTGTGATTTAGTATGCACAACTTGTGGCCAATCCATCTCCGTCAATGACAATTCACAACCTCATCGACTGACTTGTCTTTGGCCAGTACCTTTCGCCTAACGTTGGTGTTCCGCATTTGGTGTTAACACAATAAGCGAGCGATGCTTCGAAGACATCGATAATCAAAAACCTTTAACCGTTTCATATCTACTTTCAACGGTCATCTCTCACAGTTATGTATGAGAAGAGAGCGAAATGTAACACAGTATAATCGTCCTTTAATAGGCAGTCGCATGTCGCACTAGCGTCAAGGATGACGTACGTTGGCAGATACCAAATGGGCCTGCTGTATCCAAACTGATATTTCTTCAGCAACCAGTCTGTTCGCGCTGATGCAACTTTTCAAGTAGGCGAAATGGTCAACGCATTATATCACTTCACTCTCTGTCCTTAAACAATGAGCAGTTGCAGACCAGTCCTGAAGCACCATCCTATATTTGACAGGTCCACGATCTATGCTTCAGTGACAATAGTGGTCGAACACCTGAAGCTTTTACACGTCTCCCACCTTTAATGATCATGTTTCATAGCTGAGAGGCACACCCAACCACAGTAGAGCTGTGGCACATTGGTCTTAGCACTTGATTTCCAACAGATGGGTTACATGTTCGAATCCAGCTCCACCTACCGAGGTTTCGGCAGCCAAGTATTATTATTAGCTCTCACACAACAAGTGTGGCCCATTGTGCCTACTGCAGGGATGTGAAAAAGGCTGCTAAGAAAACTTAGATTTCACACTCGGCCCTCGATAAACAATCTGATATCTTGTCGGCACAACAGGTGGTACAGATTGATAAGTCAACCGGACATTTTGTATTGGTGTCAAGGTTTCATCGGCTACTAACTTATCAAGGTTGGTCTCAATGTTTTATGAGACTTATATGGGATTCTGTGGAGCTGGTGATATTCCTTACTTCCATTGTCCGACACCTCAACTTTATCGACTTCGAGAAGGCCTTTGACAGCGTCGACCGAGAGGTAATTTGGAAACTGCTTCAATACTACGGAATACCGCAAACCTTTATCCGCCTCACTCAACAACTATATGAAGACGCCACATGCTGGCCAAGTAATTCACAGTGGGAAGCTCAGTGATGCTTTTGAAGTGAAGACAGGAGTGAAACAAGGTTGCCTACTATCCCCCATGATATTCCTGATTGTGGTCGACTGGATCATGCAGCAAACAGTAGGCAGCGAGAAGAGGGGGATACACTGGACTGCGGAAAAAAACCTAGAAGACTTGGATTTCGCCAACTATGACTTGTGCCTGATGTCACATAAACTTGAAGATCTACAGGCGAAAACTAACAAGTTGGCAGAAGAGGCGAGGAAGCGAAGACGGGACTTCAAGTGAATATAGAGAAGACAGAAGTGATGAAGATACCGCACCACCACCAACAACAACAAACTCCAGTCACCATGAACGGGAGAAACTTAAAGGAAGTAACCTCCTTCACCTATCTAGGAAGCACTGTTTCAACTACAGGCGCCACAGGCACAGACGACGATGTCAAAGTCAGAATCGGAAAGACAGCAAGACAGGCCTTCATTAGCCTGAAACCAGTGTGGAGATCTTCTGCATTCAGCATGTGGAACAACATCCGGATTTTCAACACCAACGTCAAGTCAGTGCTTCTGTGTGATGGTTGAGAGACTTGGCGTGTTACGAAAGGGATTTCCAATAAACTACAGACATTCATCAACAACTGCTTACGCTGGCTCGCTACTGAAGATCAGATGGATTGCCAGAAAGAATAAGCAACGAGGAGCTCTGGGAACGAACCAACCAAGAACCTATCACTCAACAAATATGCAGAAGGAAGTGGAGATGGATTGGCCATGCACTGAGAAGGCCGACTGGGGACATCAAGCGTCAGGCTAGGCCCTCGAGTGGAACTCCCATGGGAAGCGACGAGTTGGACGTCCAGGTTGATGGTGACATGGAGGAGATCGTGCGAGGAGGAAGTGAGAGCTTCTGGGCTGTCGTGGAGCCAGGTTCAAAAGATTTCAGAGAACAGAGGTCACTGGAGACGTGCTACTGAAGTCCTATGTTCCATTAGGAACCCAAGGGACTAATAATAATAATAATAATAATTGTCAGACAAATTGGAGGCACTATTTATCACGCTTTGAGTAGGAGCGGACACTATAATATTTCTAATGTTGCATTGCCAAGTATATCTCTACACATTTTAGGCTCACTAGTTGTGTCAACCAGTAACACAGCTTAGCTTTACAAGTGTACTCTATCGAATGAAAGCATCTTTTGAAATAATATTGTAATATTTACTGGAAATGAGTGATGAATGCGAATAACGTGATTATGCAGTTTAGTTAGGGAAACTTTAGCTAACAACTAAACTTACTTTAAAACGAACGTTGCCTAGCTCACGAGCTTCTTTGGATAGTTGGATTCTTCTTTCATCTTCTTGTTCTTCATCTGTTTCACTGCTACAACTATGACCATCAGAAGCTTTGTCACCACCAGAACCATCCTTATCATCTTCCTCTAAAGCTTTGTCGACATCAAACTTATCCCAAGCACGATAATCATAAGCCTTAATTCGTTCAACTTTTTTGTCGCTAATCTTTTGCTTATTTCTCTTCTAAATTGGGAGAAAAATTGATAGAAAACACATTTGGTGCATGTATACCTTTTTACTTTTTTTAAATAAACTATTACGAATAGCTGGAATCTCCGGTTGAGATAAATTTTCTAAACGTTTGCTTTTTGATTCAACTGTCTGCTTCCAAGCAGTAAAATCACTTAGAAAATCTGCAACTTCCATATTGTTTTCGCGCATTTGCACTTGCAGATTTAGAAATTTTTCGGGATCCATGCTAAATTTACAATGTTATGCAAGAAAAACAAAAGTGTTAGCAATAGAATTTCATACTCACCAGTTCAAGTTGTACTATTCACATAAGTATAGAGAAAAAATCAAGAGGAAAGAAAATAGAAAAACGAAACACTGATGCCAGTGATTACAAAGGTACACAAACCTAGCTTCAGTTGAGAACCCTATTTCAAGTGTTTCATTTGCTGCCAATAATTTTTACCACTTTTAATTGTTCCTTTTTGGGACTGTTGTTTGTAAACTTTTGTATACAGTTTTGCTCAGTGTTTTATTTTCTAGTCAAACTTGTTTTTTCATAATTAAATAAAGTGACTCTTCAGTTACACAAAATTAATTCTTCTTTACTTCCAGGTACTTTACAGAAACAACTTTCGCGGTGTGGGCAACCAAGAAGTGCCAACTGCCAGCACGTTTTTAGCAGCATGAAAGACCTAATCAATCATAACTGCGAAAGCACAACACTCCTCCCTGGCCAAATGTTCTCCAAGTGAGTGTCAATCAATAGCTGACTATGCACAGTCCGGCTGACAGCGACTCTGGCCGATGTCAGATTGTAGTTTCCAGTTACTCACTGACAAACTGCAGCTCGGGTGACATAAAAGATGAGTTCCACCAAAAGCTTTCAGCTTCATCACATAAATCAAACAATTCAGATAAAGTAGTAGTAGTAGGTGACTTCAATACTCAAGTAGGTAAGCTGAGGTAATTATAAAAGCATCTTACAGGTATTTACAGAATTCCACACCAACGAACCGATGATGATGGTCGCTTCTTACAATTTTGTTCCGACAAACACTTGTTTATGGCCAGCACTAATTTCAAACAAAAAGAGAGACATTATCTCATCTGGTGTCCTCGAAATCGAACCAACGGCAGGCACCGATGGTATCAGCGTAAGCCATTATTAGAAAGGATCGATAGACGGTTACTGCTGGTCTTGAAATAGGGGCAGGTGAACGCTTGCCTCTCAGTCCGTGCAGGAATCCTACAGTAGTGAAGCCTTTGTGTGCTTCACTGAAGGATGAGAAGGACAAGTATGCATTTAGACAAGTGACGAAAGCATCCATCTACGAATGACGACAATCCCCTTTTAGATGAAGCCTACTATAGTATTCAGTCTGCTGCAAAATCAAGATAGAGACAGTTATTAACCTACAACTAAAAAAGTTATGGAAAGCCAGTTGGTTTCTGTAATATCATGCGAAGTGGTTGATGCAAGGAGTATTCTAGCTGACTCTGACCACAACAAAAGGTGAAAGTGGCTAAAAAGTATGTTTACTAGTTCTTCTCGATGACCAGCAGCGCCATGCTGATGCTGCCTTCTCAGTGGAAGGGGGGTTAGAAAAGGTCGGCCCCAAAAATAACACACTCCACCACGCCCCACGGTCTGCCGGGCCGGCGGTGTTGGTTCACTTGTCGTTTCCTTTCGCTCATCCGGCCCCAAAAATACAAAAATTCAAAATAATCATACTCAAAAGGCTGGGTGTGACAGGCCTCAAGCAGATGTCCGATGGGCTCTGCGGTCACACAAATCTCTTTCAGGTACCTTAAGAAGAAATAGCCTTCCACGGTGTGGGCAGCCGGGAAGTGTCAACCGCCCTCACAACTCTGTCAGCACCCAAGTTTCTTCTGACTGCTATCCTCCTCCTCCATCATTACCTTCTAATCTTCCTTCACGTCTCTTAATTAATGATGCTGCATCATCTTCAATTTCTCCTACCTCTGCAGCCTTCGACAACGATCTGAGTCCACAGAACAGCATCCCTGGTCTCCTTAAACCACGCTCCAAATTACATATTGGAGCCTTCAATGTCCGCACCCTCCGTCAAATTGGCCAACAGGCTTCGTTGGCAAAGACTCTAGCAACTCGGGCATGGATGTGTGCTGTGTTTGTGAGACACGCATACAGGACCCAAGTGTGGTTATTCACCTGACCTCTCCTGACCAATCTGGTGAATCTGCAAAATTCACCCTTCGAGTTTCTGGAGATTCGATAGCTAGCTCTCGTGGTCTTGCAGGTGTAGGTATAGCATTAAGCACCAGGGCAGAAAACTCACTACTAGACTGGATCCCAGTTGATAGTCGCCTCTGCGCTATGAGGCTGAACGGCACAGTGAGAACTAAAAGGAATAGTGAGACTCGCCGTTGTCTCTTTGTAATCTCTGCTTACGCACCCACTGACTGTAGTTCGGATGAAGTGAAGGACGAGTTCTACCATAAACTGTCTAACCTCCTCTCGAAAGCCAAACGTTCGGACGTAGTGGTTGTTGCAGGTGACCTCAACGCACAGGTGGGTAGACTGAGTGAGGCAGAAAGGCACTTAGGTGGCACTTTCGGAATCCCAGCTGAACGTACAGATAACGGTGATCGCCTATTACAACTATGCTCAGATAACCGCCTATTTTTAGCCAGCACAAATTTCAGACATAAAGAAAGGCACTGTCTGACCTGGCGTCCACCGAGCTCGACTCAGCGATGGACACAGATAGACCACATTGCTATTAGTCATCGCTGGAGAGGATCGGTGGAAGACTGCCGCTCCTTCTGGAGTACGTGTTTGGACAGCGATCATGCGTTGGTCCGAGCACGTATATGCCTGCGTCTCAATGGACGTAGAAAAAATTTGGCAACAAAACCACTACGAGTTCTGCTGGACAACGAAAACACCAAAGCCGTGTTCAGTGAGAAGTTGGCTAGGCAGTTATCGGAACAAAAGACTGTCACTCATCCAGAAGAAGCTTGGTGCCATCTTCAGTCTACTGTAAAAGCAGCACTGGAGACTGTAGCCGACTCCAAGATAATGGCTAAAAAGAGCCAGTGGATATCAGCAGCTTCTTCCAAACTAATGGATGCACGTGAATGCATCCCTGCAGGCTCTGAGTACAATGAAGAGCGAGCGCAACTTAAAAATAAACTGACGAAAAGTCTGCGCAACGATCGTGAACAGTGGTGGGCAGCAAAGGCTAAAGAGATGGAAAAGGCAGCGGCGATCGGTAACAGTAGACAGTTATTTAGACTTATTAAGGAGACTGGGGGGAAATGGTCAACAACAGTTAGTGAGGTTATAGCGGAGAAGGACGGATCGGCGATTCACTCGCAGGGAAGGCGACTGGGACGATGGGCAGAACACTTTGAGGAACAGTTTAACTGGCCTCCAGCCACCATTGCGCTGCCCGCTATCCAGTCGGACCCTGAATGGGACATAGAGACAGGTCCCCCAACACTAGAAGAAGTTGAGAAAGCGGTAGGTAGCCTGAAACGGGGAAGGGCAGCAGGACCAGACGGACTACCTGCTGAGGTATACAAGAATGGTGGTAGAGTTCTCTTAGTCAGGCTAACGGAAGTGTTAGCCAGTATATGGGAATCAAATACGATCCCCTCCGACTGGTCTAAGTCACTGATCATCCCAGTCTTCAAGAAAGGCGAGAAGTCCTCTTGTGATAACCACAGAGGAATCAGCCTGACAAACATAGTGTCTAAGATCCTAAGTTCTATAATTCTCCGACGCCTGAGTGGAGCTCGGGAACAGCAAGCCCGAGAAAACCAGGCAGGCTTTAGACCTGGCCGTGGATGTATCGACCAAATATTCACACTGCGCCAGGTCCTGGAACATAGGCATGCTTACAGACGCCCGACAATAGCTGTATTTCTCGACCTGAAGGCGGCATTTGACTCCGTTGATCGAGAAGTCTTATGGCAGTGTCTGTCACTGAAAGGCGTGCCTAGTAAGTACATCACCTTATTGAAAGCTCTCTACTCGAACACTTGTGGGCATGTTAGAGCCTATGGTGAGTTGTCCAGGGAGCTATACTCATCAAGTGGTGTCCGTCAAGGATGCCCACTATCCCCATTCTTATTTAATTTTATCATAGATATTCTTATGGAGGTTTCCCTCTCGTCACCTAATTACAAAGACGTTGACCGGATCACAGGTGAATTTTCCTTAGATCTAGAATATGCAGATGACATAGTCCTGTTAGGTGAAGACGCTGACAAGATGCAGAGTCTTCTGAACACTTTGAGTGGGAATTTGAGAATGTTTGGGATGCGATTTTCACCACCCAAATGCAAATTTTTGCTCCAGGACTGGTCTTCAGCGGTACCGCGGTTAACAATAGAGAGTGAAGTGGTTGAGTGTGTTGACCACTTCACTTACCTGGGAAGTAGGATCAACCCGGTGGGTTAGTTGCCGATGAGATTTCTGCACGGATACAAAAGGCTCGATTGGCTTTTGCCAATTTGCGCCACCTATGGCGCCGCCGTGATATTCGTTTGTCTATTAAGGGTCGCGTGTACTGCACAGCAGTCCGCTCTGTTCTACTGTATGGCTGTGAAACATGGCCATTGAAAGTGGAAGACAAGAAAAGGTTACAGGTATTTGACCACCGTTGCCTTCGTAGTATAGGACGTATTCCGTGGTGTCACCATGTGAGTAATGCAGAAGTTAGGTGTAGAGTTTTAGGGAGAAGAGGTAAGTCAGTCGACGAGGTTGTGAACCTTCATCGACTGAGATGGTTGGGACACGTACTACGTATGCCTAGTCACCGATTGCCTCGTCACACAATGTTGGCTGAGGTGGGTTCAGGCTGGAAAAAGGCCCGAGGTGGCCAGACTAAAACATGGCACCAATGTATGAAGTCTCTGACTGTTGGTTTAAGCCATGTAGGACGATGCAGACTAGGTGGTTGGGGTCCACGGGACAAGAGGAACCAGTGGTTGGAGACCCTAGGTGATATGGCTCAGAACCGAAGTCAGTGGCGCAGATGTATACACACATTATCCTCATCTTAACAACGCTATACCGAATCTCACTATTTTGTCACTCCTCTTTCCTTTCTTCTCGTACTTTATATTTCTTTTGACTGCATTCACTTATCTTCATCCTTCACCTCACTACCTTTTTACTTGATGTGCTGATATGAGGTGTGGCAACTCGGACCGTTACGCAGTAATGCCTGGTCCTATGTTGATAATGATGATGAT